TTTAGGAGAAGTTCTTATTTTGTCTCTTCAGTGGTTAACTTCAATTTATTCCTGCTTTTGGAAGGAATGGAGAGAAGCCTGCTCTGATACTGATCAACATTCTCCCTGCCAAGGAATAACAGCCCATTACAAGATCCTCCCTGCCAATGAGCAGCTCTTTCTCCACTTGACCTGCAGACACAGTAAGTTTAAAAAGTGACCTGAAATCTTTATGATGTTCTTTCCAACTAACTGGGTTTCCCTGGTGTCTGGCTGCTGCCTGCATAAAGAGCAATGAACCTAAACCATTAACATTTTTTCCATTTTGATCATGGGGAAAACTGGGATACAGAGCAAGTGCCTGCAGGAACAAAAAAAATACATACAGTCAGTGCCCTGTTTGTCCCTAGAACTTCCATCAAGAACCTGAAATCCAAAGTGCAAGCTATGTGAGGGATCAGCTCTGCCAACTATTGAGGCAGCTAAGGGCTTTCTCCAATTTCATGGGGAAATTTCTACAATTAAAGCTGCTGTTGCATTCCACCCTCACCCAAGAGAGTGGGCCACACACAAATACCTTTTACCACAAGGTCAGGTTTTTGGATATTCTGGCTTTCAATTTACAATTTCCCTTGGTTGAGATTAGCCCACTTTATTTAGGGACTTGCTACTGTGTCATCCTGGAGGAAAACCTCTCTTTTACATTGAAAACAAAGGAAGATCATTAAATCCATTTTACCAAAAGTAAAAAAAAAAAAAGAAAGAAAAAAACACTCAAGTCCTGTTACAGCACTTCTGAATTTTGGCAACACCCATTGATAGACTAGTGGTGGCAGAGAGTGTCAGAGGAGGTATAATCCAGTTTCCTCCTCTGGAAAAAAAGTGCTTACATTTAAAAAGCTAAAGGACAGCTAGATGACCTTCTCACTCTGAAATTTCATGATTCTATGGGTTGTTCTGAAGGATTTCATAGATTCTTTTTGCTATATAATGTGGACAAATTCTCTAAACTTCTGTTCCTTAATTTGGCTCAATTTAGAAATCTACTAGAGGCCCAGCAATGTTAAGTGCTAGAGATACAAACATGAGCAAGGCCCAGTTCTTGTCCTCACATAACTCAAAGAAGAGGAAGGAAAAATACATTAAAACATAACTCTGAAGGTCCTCCAAGAACGGGGCAAGGGAGTCAAGGAGCTCTAAGGAGAGGAGAGCTCTAAGGAAAGGAGGAGCACACATGCTTCTCCAGGAGCACTGAGTATCGTGGAAGAGCATCTCCTAAAGGAGGGAAGTGTGCCCAGAAGATGGATGCATGCGATGCCTTCAAGTAAAAGCCAGCTTAGCGTTTCTCAGCCTCCTACTGCCCAACCCTAGACTTCCCCCCTCAGACCCATTCTTCACTCTAAACGGTACCCCCAGTAAGACGTCTTTCTCCACTCCCAAGGCTGGTTTAGCTTTTCCTCAAGTGTCCCTGACTGTCCTGCAGCACACATCAGACTGCTGTGCTGGACTGTTTGCATCCCCCCACCCACACACACAAACATAGGACTGTCAGCTGCTAAGGGTACCTGTGTACTCAGTCACTCAGTCATGTCCGACTCTCTGTGAACCTCTGGATTGTAGCCCACCAGGCCCCTTTGTCCATGGGATCTTCCAGGCATGAATACTGGAGTGGGTTGTCATTTCCTCCTCCAGGGGATCTTCCCAACCCAGGGATCAAACCTGTGCCTCGTGCATCTCCTGCTTTGGCAGGTGGGTTTTTTTTACCACTGAGTTACCTGGGAAGCCCCTACTTAAAGGTAAACACTCAATAAATATTTGTAGAAGGGAGAAAGGAGGGAGGGTGAGAGGAAAGAGAGATAGGACCCTACAGAAATTTCAAATGTAAGATGTAAACTAAAGAAGAACTAAGAGTTGAGGAAAAATATTAAGAAAGATGGGTGGAAAGACTGATATCATGGAACTAAAGGAGAAGAGAACTTTCAGTAGGAGGCTCTTTTTTTTTTTTTTTTTTTAAATATTTACTTATTTTAGCTACACTGTGTCTTAGTTGCAGGATCTCCTGAAGATCCAGGCATCTTCACTGTAGCATGTGAGATATAGTTGCCCAACCAGGGACAGAACCGGGTCCTCCGCACTAAAAGTGCAAAGTCTTACCCATGGACCACCAGGGCAGTCCCTGACTCTTCTCATTATATGAGAAACACTCTAGTGAAATCAGGTAACTCATGATTAAAACTAGGTTCTTTGCCCTTTCTATGTCCCATGGACCTCCTTGGCAGTATGGTAAAACCTATGGGCCTCTTCTCAAAATAATACTGTTAGATATATAAAATACAATACATATGATAAATTACTTATATTGGAATACAGTTATTGAAATATTAAACATTACCCCATGGTCACATATATGCTTCTTTATTAACGCATTAAGTAACAAGATCCAGCAGTAGGTCCAACAACCATTGCAACTTCTCAATGAAAAACAACAGTACTTCATGCTATCTACCACAACTGTAATGTGAGACCGAAATACCTAGGGACAGTATTAGTACTTCTGTGGTTTGTTGCCTTTCAACCCATTGTTGAAAGAAAGGCTAAATTTCAGCTAATGGTTAGTATTTCCCTAACCAAAACTGATAAGACTGCAACCAAGTCACTGAATTGGAGTGAGGTCCTAGCTGACCTTCGCCTTAGCAGTTTCAGGCAAGTGAGGGGGTAAAAGCCAGACTGAAAATTAAGTGACAACCAAATGAACAAAGAAGAGGGAGGGTATGGTTATAGGCTCCTCTTCCCAGATGTTTCTGTAGCCAAAAGAATGAAAAGGCTTGGAGTAGCATGAAGGAGAAGAAATGTCCAGGGTAAATAGAAATGGGACATGCCCTCTCCTTGTGACCCAAAAAGCAATGTTAGGAATGAGGCTAAATCACTGTGGGAATAGTCCCCACAACATGAACAAAGGGCAGTAAATTAGGACACAGAGTTATTAGCACTATTTTTTTACTAGTGTAGGCAGATCGTGAAGATCTGCACAGCCTCAGAGGCAGAATTGCAGGGGAAAAGAGGCAAGTCAATGCCAGGGGATTCTTTCCTTCTGAAAAAATAACTATCACTGTTTGGAATAAAACAGATAATGGGCTGACTGTGGAGTTAGCCCATGATTTCCACTCTTCATGGACAGCTGATTATAGAAAGGACCATAAAAAGAATTCTCCTCCTCTATGGAGAAGATAAAGAGTCTCCCAGATACCTATTCCAGATACACCTTTACTTGCACGGATGTGAGAGGCCTCAGTGCAATAAAAGTTATTTAAGCTAATCTTTTTCTGAGTCAACATTGAATACTATTAATAGTAGTTGATATCTGAGACATCAGATGCTTAAAAAAAAAAAAAGAATGTGTATATGAGAGACAGAAACAAAATTCAAGAAAATAGCAGCACAGAACCAACAATTACTAAACACAGAACAGAATGAAAACAAAAATAGAGGAAGTTTGGGTTTCTTAATAACCATCCTTTTAGAGCCAAAGCGTGGGGTGGGGGGTGCAGGGTTGGGGGAGGCTCCTGAAATCCAATGAGCTGTGCGGTGGGAGCCGTCACAGAGTGTGGGGAGAAAGTGAACAGAAGGAAAGCTGTGCAGATATGCAAATACCCTATTCAAACCCAGCTTCACTTTTCCTGCAACTGAGGGTAATTAAGTGGTTAGAGAGCCGCCATTGAGCCTCTGCTCCTCAGAAACAATCGCAGATTTGTTGGCTAGTTGACTTCATCCGGCCTATGCCAGACCAAGATAAATCAAATTAAATGTCCCCTGACACAAAACCCAGAGCCTGTGTGATCCTGGGAGCGACTATATAGCCTCTGTGGGCGTGGGGAGGGGGCCGTCTGGTGTGCAGCTCGGTACCGCAACAGGAGCTCAGGTGCTGTGAGGCATAAGACGAAAAGAACAATTGCACCACTCTGTATTCACCACTGGACATCATTTATTATGCTTTCCTGCCCAGGGAGCCCACAGCCCTTTCCAGAAGTGACCTCCATCAGCCTCCCCCATACCTCAGTGAGCCCCACCAGCCGGCAGCCAGACTGTATTAGCAGCTCACCAGGGTGAGTGGGAGGATTTACTCAAGGTCACCCAGCAGATGGAGGTCAAGCCTTAGGTAATACTCACCCCTAACCTTGTGTCTTATCTGTCACGGCACTCTTCATCTCAACCTGCCGCTTCCAGGGAAATAGCACAAAAAGAGCTCTTTTCCAAGAGCGTTCAAAGTCATCTTTTGTGGGACCAACCCAGAGGTCTCAGAGGACCTAACACGGGGTTTAAGGGGGAAAGATCGTATTTTCCAAACCTAATCACTTAAGTTTCTAACATCCCACCTTCTAGCTGCATGGAATAAACTAACTCTGGATTTCCAGAGACAATATGAATTGAACACGATACAGAAACCAGAGAACTACACGCTTCTAAGGAGTCTGAGATGCCATCAACACTCGGCTTTGGGGTAACTCCAGATCTCAGGGAGTAAGTCTCCGGAGAAGGGCATCTGTGCTTTGCTCCAAAAGGCCCCTTGACACCCTGGGGGCTTACTGGAAAGGTTAGGAGGGACCCCCCTCCAGCACTCCCCGCTCTGTTTATGACCAGGGTGCCCTGCAAAAACCCAAGTGAAGCTTCTGCCCAGAGGAGGATGGCTCTGTCAAGGAAAGGGAGACGGCCAGACGGCTACCCAGTGGGGAGGCAGGAGGAACCTTCCCAGGCAAGCTGTGAACTCTGACTGACCTGCCCTTGAACTCTAACTTACCAGTCCTGTGAATTTTGACCTGCCCATGAACTCTGACCTGACCTTGAATTCTGACTTAGCCTATGAACTCTAACCTACTTGCCCGCCTAGCCCTGAGAGGTTTGCCCTGGGTGGCTGCCCAGTAACTATATAGTAAGGGACCACAAACATTCGGATTCTCTCCTGTCAAGAGAACAGCTGAGAGAGAGCAGGAAGGGTCGGGGTGATAGCAAGTATATGGACTCACCTGGAGGGTGAGCGTTTTCTCCGAGCCGGCTCTGTGTAGAGGTTCCTCATAGTCAACAAGAGGCCTGGTACCCGGAGCCCCGCCCCCAACGCTGTTGATGCCTCGCTCCTTCCGGTCAGGACCGGAAGTGCTAAGAACCGTGCTGCTTTTAAATGGCGGCTCCTGTATCTGTGAGCATTGTTTTTGCCTGAAGCCAGTAACACCTCGACCAGTTATCCCTCAAACACACAGATCATAAGGGACTTTATTACAATTAGCGCAAGCAATTTATCGCCTCCCCCCCACCTCCTCATTTAGTACTTTGGAACTTTAGTTCTTAACATGTATCATAAAACGCAAGAGTCCAGTGACCAAAGGAAACCTTTCTTTCACCATCTATTCTTCGGAAATAAAATGGTCACCTGGAAACATCTACTAAAAGATGGCTAAAAATGCATCATGCGATTCTTTCTAAAGAAGAGATGGAGGTGGGACCCTCCACATCTCCAAGAGACCTTTTTGCCTCCAGGTTACTGCCAAGTCCAGCTTCCAGTCACGACTGGAAGCCCATCACCAGGGCTTATCTAAGCTCAGCTCCAAAAGAAGTCAGAGGGCCCTGAGGCAGAAATAGTCACGCGCAGCTCTGCTCCCAATGCAAAATTCACACCCACCAGAAAACAAAAACAAAAACAAAAAACAGCTCTTTTCTGCCTTACAATCCTTGATTTCTGTCCACTTCTCCCACCACCCCCCACCCACACATCCCCCGAGGGCTCCAAAGCTCCTTCCACACCTTTTACCCTTGCCTCCTGCTCCAGCCTGTTTTTCTCTCTGCTGAACATACCGATCTTGTCTTGTGTCTCTCTGGCCCAAGAAGTACAGATTTCTTCCACTCTAAGACAGCAACCCGTCCTCTTATGCTTTAGCCCTCTAACACCCAATGGACTTCACATCCATGACCGTTCTTTTTCCATACCTTTATTCTGGCCTTTTCTACAGCTGTTGCCTTTTTGCCCTGAAAGGTATCATTCTTCCCCTCCCAGGGTATGGGCATGGGGAGTTCCCTTTGAACTGTTTCACCTCCCTCTTCAGCCAAAGTTCAGCTCAAGTAATCTCTCCTTCCTTACATTTCTTTAGCACTCATTTCTTCCTTACCCTAGGCAGTCTGGTTCACACCACAAGGCACCCCTGAAACCATGAGCTCTCAAATGTCAGCAGTAATCCTAGGCCACATCTAACAACAACCTTTTCTCATTTCTCATTCACCTTTAATTCTCTGAAACATTGACAATTTGGTAACAACCACCTCCACAGTACTTCTCAGGTGCCCCCCATTTTGATTTCTATGACACCTTCTGGGTTTAACCCTTTGGGGGTTTCTCTTATGACTCCTTTACAGTCCTCTTCCAAAGGTGGGAACAGGAGGATCATCCATCCCCAAGCCTCGTATTCTTCCTCAACCTTGTACTTTTCTCATCATTCGCCTTCTCTGAAGTAACCCATTGATCCTCACTGGTAATAGGACAAAGTACCAATTCATTATCCTAGCCTTTGAGGTCTTCCATGTGACCCTACACAACCCATCTATCTCCAACCAGGCTGTTGGTCTCCTACGTGGACCACATCTCTTCTATCAAAATTTTATTCCCATTTCAAAGTCTAGCTAAACTCTCATGTTGTCTCACTTGCATCACTAGTATTAATGCACAGAAAACCAGGAAAGTATCTTTATTCTTATAAACCCCCTCAAATCTAAGGCAGACATACAGAAGCCAAAGCCAAACCAAGAAATGGCAGTAAACAACTTATTTAATAAATATACTTAAATCGACACATTTAATAAATATACCTAATTTATGCATCCTTTTGTCTTGATTATCAGAGCAACAGCAAAATGAAGGACATAGATTTTCTTCAAATATTGCTTACTGTGCAGGCATTAGTGATCATAAACTTTATCATTATACATCACAGTTTTCATTTCATAAGTTTAGGTTGACAAATTCAGTGCTAAATAGACCTATTTGTTTCCCCTACTTCTTGAGATTAGGGTAAGCAGTCATTACCTAGTGGCAGTGTGTCGCACTTGACTATGTGGCTTAAGTGGATGGCTTTGCCATCAACATAGTTATCTGAAATAATGATAAGCAGACTTTTTCCATTTTACAAAATAGAGCTCTTTGTTAAAGCATCTAATTACAAATATCTAGTAACATTACATCAAACACTGTTTAAAAGACAACCCTGGGAACTTCCCTGGTGGCACAGTGGATAAGAATCCACCTGCCAGTGTAGGGGACACAGGTTTGATTCCTGGTCCGGGAAGATCCCACATGCCTCTGAGTAACTTAGCCTCTGTGCCATAACTATTGAGCCTGTGCTTCAGAGCCCAGGACTGCAACGACTGAGTCCATGTGCCGCAACTACTAAAGCCCGTAGGCCCTAGAGCCTGTGCTCTGCCAGAAGAGAGGTTATCACAGTGAGAAGCCCAGGCATCACAGTGAAGAATAGCCCCCGGTGGCTGCAACCAGATAAAAGCCCAAGCAACAACGAAGACCCAGCACAGCCAAAAATAAATAAAGGAATTACAAAAAAAAAAAGAAGACAGGGCTGGTGTAGTTTACTATTAGAGAAAACAAGCACCTATGAAAGCAGAATCTTTTTTATTCATCTTAATCCAAATTTTTATTATTTCACATATTGATTGAAGTATCACTCTGCACACTACATCTGCCATATCAGAAACAGCTAATGATCCCTCAGTGTCCGTTCCCTTCTTTAACATGTGAACCCCCAATTTTTAACTGGCCATTGCCCATTCTGTCTTTCAGCTAGATATAGCCATGACCATGCCTGCCCAATAGGATCTAAACAGAAATGTCATGTGCATTATCTGGGAAGTATCCAAAGGGAAGGAGTGCTCCTTTCTTTCTCTTTCTTCCTGATAATTAAATATAGATGAATAACTTGGACCCTAGAAACCTGCTGGCCCATGAGTGGAAGCACGCGTGAGGATGGGGAAACTGGTTCTTGATTTTTACAGAACAGACACACTAATCTTGCAATACCTGTCTCCAGAGTTCATTTCATAAGAGAGCACAGATACCTATTTAAGTCATTTTTATTTGAGGTTTTCTGTTATGCTTCTAACTGATATACCAACTTGAGAATCAAAACTTATAACTCAATCCAGAATTTCCAGAACAAAATTATGCCAAATATACATGTACACAGCTTTCCTTCCAAAGTCTGTGTACATACCACTCCCCCACCTTTTTTTGTATACTAAATGCATCCATGGCTCATGTCAATAAAATAAACCACAATAGTATTTATTATTGTCTTTCCCCATCCTTGTTCTTTTGTGACTTTCTTTACCCAAATAAAAGAGAGGCAGAGTGTGTCATGGAATGTGTGTGCAATGTGCTATATGAGAAGTTACCTCTCATCTCTGCCCTTTTTTAGTCACATGGTCCTGAATAAATGACATTCTGTGTTCAAAAAAGTGGGGTGAATTATTTCCATTTGAATCATTCAAAATCCCCACTGGGGTTGCTGTGAGAATTCAATGCTATAAATACATTAAAGTGTCTGACCAGTGTCTGATACGTTGGATGGGGCTTGATAAATGCTTGTGAAATCTAAAAACTAAATCTCAACCACAGGGCAAACAACTCCCAAGCCACTGACTTTTAATCGATAATTAACAATTTCCTTTTTTAAGCAGAGAGAAAAACAGTGCCCCCCACAACAAGTGTAAGGATCTTCTGTATAGGTCTGGATGCTGAGGCCATTGACCTTGCAGCTTTAGGGCTGTGAAGTTCAGCTCCCCTAGAGGTAGTAAAGATTGATGGGGAGCCAAAACAAGAGGCATCACTTGATGTAAGTTTAGAGGGACAGTGGGTCATCTACAAAGATGGCAGCAAACCACCGTCTCAACTCCATGTCTCAACTCCATCCACACATGTGCACCCTACTCCTCACAGCAAGAGGTGGACAGCGTTTCCCTCCCCTTGTGACTTGCTTTAACCAATAAAATGCAACAAAGTAGCATTTGGTGAATGACAGGTGTAGACCTTAAGAGCCACTGCGGCTCTATTTGCTCCCTTGGAAGCCAGCCATCAAGTAAAGAAGCTGAGGCTAGACTACTTACTGAGTGATCGAGACCTTCTGCAGTGGGTTGGCATTTCCTACTCCAGGGGACCTTCCCAACCCAGGGATTGAACCTGGATCCCTTGTGTCTCCTGAATTGGCAAGCGGATTCTTTACCACTGAACCACCTGGGAAGCCAAATCAAGTAGGAACTTCTAGTCCATGACAAAGACATTGGCTTCCTCAGCTGGGAAGGCAGGAAGAGTTTTGAGCTCATCTCTTTCAAGACTCACTCTGTCTACCATGTGGTGGGGTAAGGAGGGACTAGTTAGGAAACTAAGGAAATAATAATAATAGATGGTGACTTGGACCAAGGTGGCATCTGAGGACACGGTAAGAAACAGAAAGCTTCCAGAAATATCTGGAAAGCAGAGAGAGACTTATTACTGTTAGCATGATTATGCCTGTTTCACAAATGAGGAGACCAAAGGTAGAATAACCTGCCCAAGATGATACGGCTTGTACACCTGGAGTCAGAATTCAATGCAGGGTTTGACTTCAAGAGCTCATCCTCTTCACCACGCTGGCCTCAGTTCACTTCAGTCGCTTAGTCGTGTCTGACTCTTTGCAACCCTGTGGACTGCAGCATGCCAGTCTTCCCTGTTCATCACAACTCCCAAACCTTGCTCAAACTCACGTCCATCAAGTCAGTGATGCCATCCAACCGTCTCATCCTCTGTCATCCCCTTCTCCTCCTGCCTTCAATCTTTCCCAGCATCAGGATCTTTTCCAGTGAGTCAGTTCTTCGCATCAGGTACCCAAAGTGTTGGAGCTTCAGCTTCAGCTTCAGCGTCTACTGAGTACGCTGACCTACTGCCTGATAAAACCTCTGAGCTGGGACTTCCCTGGTGGTACAGTTGTTAAGGCTCTGCCCTTCCAGTGAAGAGAGTGCAGGTTTGATTCCTGGTGAGGGAACTAAGATCCCACATGCTGAGCAGTATGGCCAAAAAATTTAAAA